AAAAGTCAGGTTTAAAATGTTTTCTTTCCACTCCCTTGTGAGTCCTTACTTGGTACCCATAACACTTTTCTTTTCAGCAATACCATGTAATTTTCAAAATTCTGGAAAAGTGGGGGAAGAGGAGAGAAGATATTGAAGAGGATAATCATTACTGATTTTTCTATATTGTCTATATTCAAGGAAGCTAAAGTCAATCTCAGTCACTAAGGTTCCCGAAAAATAAAACTTACAGGAAAAAGCAAAAGTAAACAAAATTAATAGAAAATAGTGTCAAAGTAGAACACTGGTATACAGATAATGGTGTGAAATTAAAGAGCAAGAAGAAAAGGAATGACCCAAAAAATTATTGCCAGAAAGTATTCACAATGATAACTTGTCATAGAAGGAAAAGTTAATTTTTTTTCTTTTAACTCCATAAAAACCTTTCCCCAATTCCAATAATTTGAAGGCTTCCATTTATACTTCAGTTAATCTACATTATAGGACATGTCTGTAAATATAAAGCTGCACAAAGCACACCGACCTGTGTTATAGAGGAACAACTCCATAACAAAAGGAAAAGACAAAAGGGTTCCTACAGCACACAGAATTCTGAACTAGTGCCCACACTAAGACAGAAAACTGGAGCACTACATGATTTCATAGTAGGTTACCTGGTACCCATGGGCATTGGTCCAGAATCTATATTATGGGGGTTTGAAAGAGAATGGCATTCATAGCGTCATATGCTTAAATGCTAGGCCAGCAGTTGATAGAACTGTTTGGGAAAGATTATGAGGTATGGTGTTATTGGAGAAGGTGCATTGTTAGAGGAGATGAGTCACTGAATGCGGACTTTACATTTCACAAGTCTCCCTCTCTCTCTACCTGCTGCCTGGAGGTCAGGATGTAAAGTACTTAGCTACTACTTCAATGCCTTGCCTGTTTGTAATATACAAACCCCCGGACCCTATAAGCAAACCACCAATTAAATGCTTCCTTCTAAAAGTTGCTTTGGTCAAGGTGTATCTTCACAGCAATAGACCAATCAGTAAGACACAGACCATACCTAATAAGCTTAGAAACACTGGAAAAGGCTTAGGAACTACAAAAACATACAGAGGCTATGGGCTCCAATATAGATAAACAGATACAAAACCACACTGTGTGCTATAGGATAACTGTTTACTATATGGAAGGAATGGGATCTACTATTAAGTGGGAACAAATTCTACTTGGTAAAGATACCAATTCATGGGTTAAGAGGAAGATTACAGATCATTGAATGGACAGAGACAACAGGATAGAAATTTACCCAAAAAATAGGCAGCAAGGCCCTTCTGAAGACAACACCTAGACAACTTCAATATGGTATTTTTTGTTTTATCTTGTTTGTTTGTTGTATTTTTTAAAGTGAATGAATGAATGAAAACCTAGCCTAGGGTAAAAGTAACTGGGCTGTTATTTGTATCATCTGGGAGAAGGAAAGTAATTTTTCTTCAATAAAATGACCATGGGTATACCAAACATTCCAAGACAGGCCTCCTATTCAGGAGTAAGTGACCAGCATATAATGCTTATTGTTATGCATATACTTTTATGTGGTTATAGTTTAATGGGTTTTTGTTGTTGTGGTGGTTTTATTTGGGAAGGAGTGTTGTTTTATTTTATTTTCTTGGTTCCAGGGAGTTTTGTTGTTGTATTGAGTTTTTCTTTTTTTCTTTTCATTTTCTTTTTCTTTAGAAAGAAATTAGGGTAGATAGAGGAAGGAAAG